ATCATTAAAGCTTAATACCACTTGCCAACACAGCGAGGCTGGAAGAACATATATATACACATATAAGACACTAAAACGAACACACACACACACACACACACACACACACACACACACACACTTACCTACCAGCACCCAACCCTCAAACCCATTAAAACCAAACAACAGTAAGAAAAACACAAAACAGAGTGGGGAAAAAAATGTGGAAAAACAGGATGCACTCGGCCGGGAAAAATCATAAAAGGCAGTAGAAAATGACCCGTTTGCAATGCAGGGGACGCATGTGGGTCTGGCCCTGTGTGGAGCCGCCGGCCCGGAACACCGCCTGTTTGGGTAACTTTGCCGGCCTAGGCCACCGTGAACAGTTCAACGTTGTTATTCCTGCATAATTACCGAGTGAGTGGTGGTGGTGGTGGGGGGTAGGGGAGGGGGTGTGCTGTCTGGGAGATGGGGAGGGGGGAATGGGGGTGGGTGGGGGTGGGGTTATGTATGTAGGGGGCAGATGGAGGGAGTATATGGGAGATAGGTGGATATATATGATGATGGTAGGGAGAGAACATGAGAGAGAGAGAGAGAGAGAGAGAGAGAGAGAGAGAGAGAGAGAGAGAGAGAGAGAGAGAGAGAGAGAGAGAGAGAGAGAGAGAGAGAGAGAGAGAGAGAGAGAGAGAGAGAGAGAGAGAGAGAGAGAGAGAGAGAGAGAGAGAGAGGAGAGAGAGAGAGAGAGGGGAGAGAGGAGAGGAGAGAGAGAGAGAGAGAGAGAGGAGAGAGAGAGAGAGAGAGAGAGAGAGAGAGAGAGAGAGAGAGAGAGAGAGAGAGAGAGAGAGAGAGAGAGAGAGAGAGAGAGAGAGAGAGAGAGAGAGAGAGAGAGAGAGACAGAGAGAGAGAGAGAGAGAGAGAGAGAGAGAGAGAGAGAGAGAGAGAGAGAGAGAGTGTGTTCACCATCCAGGTGTTCAGACAGGTAAACAGAACACCTGGAACATCATAGTAACATTAACTTGCTCGCTCTCAGATGATGCTAAACTGATGACAAGACAGCCTCCGAACACTACAGTATGTGTGTAGCTCCCAGGGTGTATAGTTCCCCAGGGTGTGTAGCTCCCAGGGTGTGTAGCTCCCAGGGTGTATAGTTCCCAGGGTGTGTAGCTCCCAGGGTGTATAGTTCCCCAGGGTGTGTAGCTCCTAGGGTGTATAGTTCCCCAGGGTGTGTAGCTCCCAGGGTGTGTAGCTCCCAGGGTGTATAGTTCCCCAGGGTGTGTAGCTCCCAGGGTGTATAGTTCCCAGGGTGTATAGCTCCCAGGGTGTATAGTTCCCCAGGGTGTGTAGCTCCCAGGGTGTTCAGTTCCCCAGGGTGTGTAGCTCCCAGGGTGTATAGTTCCCCAGGGTGTGTAGCTCCCAGGGTGTATAGTTCCCCAGGGTGTGTAGCTCCCAGGGTGTATAGTACCCCAGGGTGTGTAGCTCCCAGGGTGTTCAGTTCCCCAGGGTGTGTAGCTCCCAGGGTGTATAGTTCCCAGGGTGTATAGCTCCCAGGGTGTGTAGCTCCCAGGGTGTGTAGCTCCCAGGGTGTGTAGCTCCCAGGGTGTGTAGCTCCCAGGGTGTGTAGCTCCCAGGGTGTGTAGCTCCCAGGGTGTGTAGCTCCCAGGGTGTGTAGCTCCCAGGGTGTATAGTTCCCAGGGTGTATAGTTCCCCAGGGTGTGTAGCTCCCAGGGTGTATAGTTCCCCAGGGTGTATAGCTCCCAGGGTATATAGCTCCCAGGGTGTGTAGCTTTCAGGGTGTGTTGCTCCCAGGGTGTGTAGCTCTCAGGGTGTATAGCTCCCAGGGTGTGTAGCTCCCAGGGTGTGTAGCTCCCAGGGTGTGTAGCTCCCAGGGTGTGTTGTTCCCAGGATATATAGCTCCCAGGGTGTATAGTTCCCAGGGTGTGTAGCTCCCAGGGTGTGTAGCTCCCAGGGTGTATAGTTCCCAGGGTGTATAGCTCCCAGGGTGTGTAGCTCCCAGGGTGTGTAGCTCCCAGGGTGTGTAGCTCCCAGGGTGTGTAGCTCCCAGGGTGTGTAGTTCCAGGGTGTGTAGCTCCCAGGGTGTGTAGCTCCCAGGGTGTGTAGCTCCCAGGGTGTGTGGCTCCCAGGGTGTATAGCTCCCAGGGTGTGTAGTTCCCAGGGTGTGTAGCTCCCAGGGTGTGTAGCTCCTAGGATGTGTAGCTCCCAGGGTGTATAGCTCCCAGGGTGTGTAGCTCCCAGGGTGTATAGCTCCCAGGGTGTGTAGCTCCCAGGGTGTGTAGCTCCCAGGGTGTGTAGCTCCCAGGGTGTGTAGTTCCCAGGGTGTGTAGCTCCCAGGGTGTGTAGCTCCCAGGGTGTATAGTTCCCAGGGTGTGTAGCTCCCAGGGTGTGTAGCTCCCAGGGTGTGTAGCTCCCAGGGTGTGTAGCTCTCAGGGCGTGTAGCTCCCAGGGTGTGTAGCTCTCAGGGAGTATATCTCTCAGGGTGTATAGCTCCCAGGGTGTGTAGCTCCCAGGATGTGTAGCTCCCAGGGTGTGTAGCTCCCAGGGTGTGTAGCTCTCAGGGTGTGTAGCTCCCAGGGTGTGTAGCTCCCAGGGAGTATATCTCCCAGGGTGTGTAGCTCCCAGGGTGTGTAGCTCCCAGGGTGTATAGCTCCCAGGGTGTGTAGCTCCCAGGGTGTATAGTTCCCAGGGTGTATAGCTCCCAGGGTGTGTAGCTCCCAGGGTGTGTAGCTCTCAGGGTGTATATCTCCCAGGGTGTATAGTTCCCAGGGTATATAGCTCCAAGGGTGTGTAGCTCCCTGGGTGTGTAGCTCCCAGGGTGTGTAGCTCTCAGGGTGTGTAGCTCCCAGGGTGTGTAGCTCTCAGGGTGTATAGCCCCCAGAATGCATAGCTCCAAGTGTGTATAGATTCCAGTGTATAGAGACTATATTACCAGTGGGCATAGCACCAGTGGGCATAGCACCAGTGGGCATAGCACCAGTGGGCATAGCACCAGTGGACATAGCACCAGTGGGCATAGCACCAGAGGACATAGCACCAGTGGACATAGCACCAGAGGACATAGCACCAGTGGACATAGCACCAGAGGACATAGCACCAGTGGACATAGCACCAGTGGACATAGCACCAGTGGACATAGCACCAGTGGACATAGCACCAGTGGGCATAGCACCAGAGGACACAGCACCAGAGGACATAGCACCAGAGGACATAGCACCAGTGGACATAGCACCAGAGGACATAGCACCAGAGGACATAGCACCAGAGGACATAGCACCAGTTGACATAGCACCAGAGGACATAGCACCAGTGGACATAGCACCAGTGGACATAGCACCAGAGGACATAGCACTAGTGGGCATAGCACCAGAGGTCATAGCACCAGAGGTCATAGCACCAGTGGACATAGCACCAGTGGACATAGCACTAGTGGGCATAGCACCAGTGGACATAGCACCAGTGGACATAGCACCAGAGGACATAGCACCAGAGGACATAGCACCAGAGGTCATAGCACCAGTGGACATAGCACCAGTGGACATAGCACCAGAGGACATAGCACCAGAGGACATAGCACCAGTGGACATAGCACCAGAGGACATAGCACCAGAGGACATAGCACCAGAGGACATAGCACCAGTGGACATAGCACCAGAGGACATAGCACCAGAGGACATAGCACCAGAGGACATAGCACCAGAGGACATAGCACCAGAGGACATAGCACCAGAGGACATAGCACCAGAGGACATAGCACCAGAGGACATAGCACCAGAGGACATAGCACCAGTGGACATAGCACCAGAGGACATAGCACCAGTGGACATAGCACCAGTGGACATAGCACCAGTGGGCATAGCACCAGAGGACATAGCACCAGTGGACATAGCACCAGAGGACATAGCACCAGTGGGCATAGCACCAGTGGGCATAGCACCAGTGGACATAGCACCAGTGGGCATAGCACCAGTGGACATAGCACCAGAGGACATAGCACCAGTGGACATAGCACCAGTGGACATAGCACCAGAGGACATAGCACTAGTGGACATAGCACCAGTGGTCATAGCACCAGTGGTCATAGCACCAGTGGACATAGCACCAGTGGACATAGCACCAGTGGACATAGCACCAGAGGTCATAGCACCAGTGGACATAGCACCAGTGGACATAGCACCAGAGGACATAGCACCAGAGGACATAGCACCAGAGGACAGAGCACCAGAGGACATAGCACCAGAGGACATAGCACTAGTGGGCATAGCACCAGTGGACATAGCACCAGAGGTCATAGCACTAGTGGGCATAGCACCAGTGGACATAGCACCAGAGGTCATAGCACGAGAGGACATAGCACTAGTGGGCATAGCACCAGTGGACATAGCACCAGTGGACATAGCACCAGTGGACATAGCACCAGTGGACATAGCACCAGTGGACATAGCACCAGAGGACATAGCACCAGTGGACATAGCACCAGTGGGCATAGCACCAGTGGACATAGCACCAGTGGGCATAGCACCAGTGGGCATAGCACCAGTGGACATAGCACCAGTGGACATAGCACCAGTGGGCATAGCACCAGTGGACATAGCACCAGAGGACATAGCACCAGTGGACATAGCACCAGTGGACATAGCACCAGAGGACATAGCACCAGAGGACATAGCACCAGAGGTCATAGCACCAGTGGACATAGCACCAGTGGACATAGCACCAGTGGACATAGCACCAGAGGACATAGCACCAGAGGACATAGCACCAGAGGTCATAGCACCAGTGGACATAGCACCAGTGGACATAGCACCAGAGGACATAGCACCAGAGGACATAGCACCAGAGGACATAGCACCAGAGGACATAGCACCAGAGGACATAGCACCAGAGGTTATAGCACCAGAGGACATAGCACCAGAGGTCATAGCACCAGTGGTCATAGCACCAGTGGACATAGCACTAGTGGGCATAGCACCAGTGGACATAGCACCAGAGGTCATAGCACCAGTGGACATAGCACCAGTGGACATAGCACCAGAGGTCATAGCACGAGAGGACATAGCACCAGTGGACATAGCACCAGAGGACATAGCACCAGAGGACATAGCACCAGAGGTCATAGCACCAGAGGATATAGCACCAGAGGACATAGCACCAGAGGACATAGCACCAGAGGACATAGCACCAGAGGACATAGCACCAGAGGACATAGCACCAGAGGACATAGCACCAGAGGACATAGCACCAGAGGTTATAGCACCAGTGGACATAGCACCAGAGGACATAGCACCAGAGGACATAGCACCAGAGGTCATAGCACCAGAGGACATAGCACCAGAGGACATAGCACCAGAGGACATAGCACCAGAGGTCATAGCACCAGAGGACATAGCACCAGAGGACATAGCACCAGAGGACATAGCACCAGAGGTCATAGCACCAGTGGACATAGCACCAGAGGACATAGCACCAGAGGACATAGCACCAGAGGACATAGCACCAGAGGTTATAGCACCAGAGGACATAGCACCAGAGGTCATAGCACCAGTGGACATAGCACCAGTGGACATAGCACCAGAGGTCATAGCACCAGTGGACATAGCACCAGTGGACATAGCACCAGAGGACATAGCACCAGTGGACATAGCACCAGTGGACATAGCACCAGTGGACATAGCACCAGTGGACATAGCACCAGAGGACATAGCACCAGTGGACATAGCACCAGTGGGCATAGCACCAGTGGACATAGCACCAGTGGACATAGCACCAGTGGACATAGCACCAGAGGACATAGCATCAGAGGACATAGCACCAGAGGACATAGCACCAGAGGACATAGCACCAGAGGTCATAGCACCAGAGGACATAGCACCAGTGGACATAGCACCAGAGGACATAGCACCAGAGGACATAGCACCAGAGGACATAGCACCAGAGGACATAGCACCAGAGGACATAGCACCAGAGGTCATAGCACCAGAGGACATAGCACCAGAGGACATAGCACCAGAGGACATAGCACCAGAGGACATAGCACCAGAGGACATAGCACCAGTGGACATAGCACCAGAGGACATAGCACCAGAGGACATAGCACCAGTGGACATAGCACCAGAGGACATAGCACCAGTGGACATAGCACCAGAGGTCATAGCACGAGAGTGGGATAAGATTTACAAAACGTTGGATAAATTATTGAAACTTATTTGAAATTCTGATGGCGTGAGTCCCGGGGTCTTCCTGTTATTGTCCTGGGGAGCGTCGGCCCCCCATACTGATGAGGGGAGCAGGTGAGGGGTGAGGGGAGGTGAAGGGAAGGCAAAATAGGGTAATGGGAGAGCGGGATAACAAATGTGCAGGGAGAGAATAGGGTGAAGATAATGCAGTTATGTACTAGGGAAAGGGAGGGTGTGGGGTGAGGGTGTGGGGTGAGGGTGTGGGGTGAGGGTGAGGGTGTGGGGTGAGGATGTGGGGTGTGGGGTGAGGGGTGAAGAACTTGCTGTTTCTCACAACTGTTCATTGGCCTGCTCGTCTCTGAAAGCATCAGCTAATTCCGCCAGGAGTCAAAATATTACCTAACATCCCCGCTAATTACAATAAAAATCTGCTAATCACCTAATTAAATATTTGCTAATAACTTAACAAACCTGTGCTAATGACCTAAACAAATAGTAGTTAATGGAGTGGTTAACTTGTTTAATGACAGCAGCGATAGTAGAGTGAAGATCTTCACTACTTCACTACCTCCCTCCCTCCCTCCCTCCCTCCCTCCCTCCCTCCCTCCCTCCCTCTCTCTCTCTCTCTCTCTCTCTCTCTCTCTCTCTCTCTCTCTCTCTCTCGCTCTCCCTCTCTCTCTCTCCCTCTCTCTCTCTCTCTCTCTCTCTCTCTCTCTCTCTCTCTCTCTCTCTCTCTCTCTCTCTCTCTCTCTCTCTCCTACCACCCCCTGGATGCAATTTTGGTGAATAATACAACTATCAAATACAATCTTGATTACCTGAAAGGGAACACAACAAGAGCCTGAAGCAGTTTTTGGACTATGTAATTGGCTGTAGTTTCACACGCACGCCTATTGGACCACTCCACCAGTGACGTCATCACATGGCACCTAATACGTAATGTCTTCAAGAGATATATTTAGCGTCGTTGATGAGGAAGTTCATCAAAAGATGGTCATTGGACTCAACTGCCGCAACCCGTTCTCGCAAATTTAATAAGTCAATATTGACTTATTAGTTGCGTGCATAGGTGACATACTAAACATAATAGTTTCCCTTGAAAAGCTTCATAGAAAACACCGACCTTACCTAACCTACTTAGTATGTTAAAATAAGCATCTTATAGCTTCGTAATTACAATTGTTACTTAACCTATTATAGGTATAGGTTAGGTAATAATTGTAATTACGAAGCAATAAGATGCTTATCTTAACATACTAAGTAGGTTAGGTAAGGTCGGTGTTTTCTATGAAGCTTTTCAAGGGAAACTATTATGTTAAGTATGTCACCTATGTACATATTTAATAAGTCAATATTGACTTACTAAATTTGCGAGAACGGGTTGACTGCCGAGTGTGTAATGGCAGGGGCTTTATCTCAAGTGCTTCAGTATGTAAGTGTATCTTAGTGAGTGCATGTAGGTGAGTACACAAGAGGTGCACACACACACACACACACACACACACACACACACACACACACACACACACACACACACACACACACACACATAGTTGTACACCTGTTGATTGACGCCTGAGAGGCGGGACCAAAGAGCCAGAGCTCAACCCCCGCAAGCACAACTAGGTGAGCACACACACACACACACACACACACACACACACACACACACACACACACACACACACACACACACGGGATAAAGCCAATCCACACGCACCATCAACTCTGACAAAAAACAATTTCTGTTGCTCCCAAATACTGTCTCTCCTCATGGAGCCTCACAATAAATCTTTTTTATTGACGTTCTTAAAAACAGTAATTTTTTCATAACAATTTTATTTCCCCCCATTTCATTACTCATACACTTTACGAAATGAATAACCCAACATCCATACAATTCCCCCCCCCCTCCTCCTGACCTACAGAATCACCCCTAACTCGCTCCCTGACCCAAACAATCCCCCTACACGGTGTAAACAAGTTTGTATATAACCTGTAGCAGCATGGAGGACCTTATGACGTCACAACATATTCAATTGATGACGTAGAGAGGTGCATACTTTCCTCAGGTCCTGGACCCTTCTCCCTCACATGGTACACAGTTTAAAATTTTGTTAACCTGGGTTCAAGTCTCCACCGGCTCGCTGACTGGTCCTCGCGCAGGTAAATCACTGTCACTTGCACTCATTCATTATTTGCAACATTTTAAACTATGATAAATTATCATTTTCCCCGGAAAAGAATCTTCCACATCTCAAGCCATTTTTAAATCAATAGAGATCATTACTACAAGTCACACGGTGGTCGGGCGCGTGTGTGGTGATCTCGGGACAATAGACGGAAGAGCGGGAGACAAAAGCCCGCGAGTGTGATGACCCTGAAACAAAGGAATGGCGAGAGGCGCAATTGTTGACGCGCCGCTCGAAGAGGCGGGTAAGAGCCTCGTCCGCGGCGGCCTGTCGCAAGCTGCTCGACTCCCCTTTGTTCGTCTCTCCAGAAGAACTCTGGGAAATGATAGAAGGAGCGGGAGTCACAGTGAGGACGGCCTGGTGGTGGCTGTGGTGAAGAGGGCGACCGTCCCCAGTACGTGGGAAGGTCACAGTCCTCTCTCACCGCTAGGCTGAGAGAGAATAAAGTGACTGGTTTATCTAACTTGGGACAGTCACTCCGGTACTCAGAGAGGCAGCATCTTGCTGTAGTCTCAGCACCTGGTGAAGCTTGTCCCTCCTATGAACAAATCCACAAGGGCCGTGACGAGGATTGGAACCTGCGTCCGGGAGCATCCCAGACACTGCCTTAATCGACTGAGCTACGACAGGGTAAAAGTCTGCGTCCGGGATGCTCCCGGACGCAGGTTCGAATCCTCGTCACGGCCCTTGTGGATTTGTTCATTTGATGCATCACGTTAGTGTGATCTCTGTGTGTGTTGTCCCTCCTAGTCTGGTACCGGCTGGGAGAGAGGTACAAAGGTATAAAATATGTACAAAAGCCTAGCCAAAGGCTCCACCGGTGTACCTTCGCCACGAAAAAGTTATAATCCAAATGTTAGTGTCCTCCAAATACTTCTTACCTTCATTACTGGCTGTAAACGATTGGGCACCGTTCCTCGACCGCTCGCTCCTTTGCACCAATCACCAACCATGATTTACAACGATTAGCCAATTGTGTTTGGGAAAAACGTGTCGCTATACAACTCATCCAGCGTCTGGATCTTGCCCTTCCATGTATCGCAATAGACATTAGTTGTAAATAGGTTAAAATTGTAATATAATTTACTTGTGTCTGACACCAGACACAAGGTCCCATTACAGCTTCACAATGGTCGTATGTGTACCTCGTTATACAGCTTAGAACATGTATAAATCGTGTGTATAGAACATGTATTCTCGATATCCACAATAACCTTGAAGGTTACAGACATAACAGTGAATCCAGTTTTAGGCAAACAGAACTATTAAAGTCACCAGAGGAGAACTCAGATCAATTTTAATTAGACGAGTGCAAACAGGAACTCTCAGATCAATTGGTTACCAGAGAGAAATGTGTTGAACAATACCACAGAGATGTCAGATAGGATTTCTTTAATTTGAGTCGTGTGTAAATAGAATTGATTGGACGAGAAAGTTGTCGAGGTCAAGTTGAAGTAGTTTTAAATGTAACTATGGTAAGGGAAACGAATATGAAAAATGATTGAATTAGTCATGGAATAGTTAAGAGTAGTCGCTTGACCCTTCAAGCACATTTAAACGAGTACATCTGAGTGTACACACACACACACACACACACACACACACACACACACACACACACACACACACACACACACACACACACACACACACACACACACACACAGTGCTGTAAGTCGTCAGGATCTGTGCCACACACTAAGTATCGACCCACAAAGCTCTTTCCACACGACTACGTGAAGGTGCGCTAAGATCAGCTGAGGGCGATGGCTTACCTGAAGGCGGATTATGTGGTGGGGGCAGCAACCACCACCACCACCACTGGTTGGAGAGAGGGGGGGATGGGGAAGGAGGGTTTAGGAACCATCACCACTGGTTGGTGAGAGGGGGGGGGGGGGGGGAAGGAGGGTTTAGGAACCACCACCACTGGTTGGTGAGAGGGGGGGGATGGGGAAGGAGGGTTTAGGAACCATCACCACTGGTTGGTGTGCGGGGGAGGGGGAAGGAGGGTTTAGGAACCATCACCACTGGTTGGTGAGAGGGGGATGGGGAAGGAGGGTTTAGGAACCATCACCACTGGTTGGTGAGAGGGGGGGGGGGGAAGGAGGGTTTAGGAACCATCACCACTGGTTGGTGAGAGAGGGGGGGTGGCAGGAGGGTTTAGGAACCACCACCACTGGTTGGTGAGAGAGGGGGGGTGGCAGGAGGGTTTAGGAACCACCACCACTGGTTGGTGAGAGAGGGGGGGTGGCAGGAGGGTTTAGGAACCATCACCACTGGTTGGTGAGAGAGGGGGGGTGGCAGGAGGGTTTAGGAACCACCACCACTGGTTGGTGAGAGGGGGGGGATGGGGAAGGAGGGTTTAGGAACCATCACCACTGGTTGGTGAGAGGGGGGGGGGAAAGGAGGGTTTAGGAACCACCACCACTGGTTGGTGAGAGGGGGGGGGGAAGGAGGGTTTAGGAACCACCACCACTGGTTGGTGAGAGGGGGGGATGGGGAAGGAGGGTTTAGGAACCACCACCACTGGTTGGTGAGAGAGGGGGGGTGGCAGGAGGGTTTAGGAACCATCACCACTGGTTGGTGAGAGAGGAAAGAGGAAGGATGCAGGAACCACACAAACTCCCACAACACACACAAAAACTCACATTATTACTTTTATATATACAACCCCAACAAAATATATATATAATTGTGTATTCAAGGAATTATTTGCTTGCGTTAATATGTCAGAAGTGAATTGTGTTGCAAGGTTCATCCTGCCTTCATCTCCGTGTCGTCGGCTGTTGCAACAGGTGATGTGGTGAGTGCAAT